GCATGATTTAGATGCAACCTCCAACAGTATATTAATTAATTGTACAGTGGTGCCTTGCTTAGTGATGTTGGTTCCAAAAAATTCATCGCTATGGGAAAACATCGTTAAGTGAAACATGGTTTCCTATAGAAATGCATTGAAAACCGGATAATCCGTTCCAATGGGAACGGATTGCTGTCCTTAAGCGAAAATCACCATAGGAAACATCGCTAAGCGAAACGTGGTTCCCCAACTGAAATGCATTGAAACCTATTCAAGGCATCTCAATGGGGGGAAAATTACAACAAATTGAAAAAGAGTTGGAACAAAGTCAAATTAGTTTAACAAAGGTTTTATTAAGTGCACTTATGATTTCAAGCATTCTAAACATTTTAAAACATTTTTAAACATATAAAAAACAGCCAACAGGAGGCTGTCAAAACCATCGTTAAGCGAAACAGGGGGACCCAAACTGTCATCGCTATGCGAAGCATGGTCCCAAACATCGCTATGCGAAAATCGCCCATAGGGAACATCGTTAAATGGAGCACAAGATCGCTCTGAAAAAGCCATCGCTAAGCGAATTTGTCATTAAAGGAAGTGCTCGTTAAGCGTGGCACCACTGTACATTGTTACCTTTCAAGCCAGCTGATTATTTCTATTTACTTTTAATACAAAAACAACATAGAACTTTTACTCTTACCCAACTAAATGCTTTGCCATCAGCAGTACAAGAGGGGAAATGTAAAAAGTTTCTATATGACCTTGTAATTCTGGTGGAATAGAAACAATAACTCACATTCTTCTGCACTGCCCCTTCTATCTTGGAGTTTGGGAAATTTTTACTGAACTTTATACAGTATAAAGTTATTCCCTGGACACTGAGAGTCATATCATACCCTTCTGTTGTTGTCAGATGTCAGTAGCAAGAACAGGTATGTTGTTTGACATAACAAAATTTTGTGCTGTTACAATTAAAATCCATGAAAGAATGGGCTCAGTAAATTTTAACAGCTTTTAGTTATAGGAGTAGCAAGATTTTAGGTATCTGTATATATGCATATGCGTTTTGGATATTGTATATTTTATGTATATGTATTTTGGATCTGGTTCATTGACCATAATAATGTATCTGTCTTTGTGACAGAGTCCTCCAGTTAGCATGAAATTGTATGTATGCTTTGCTTGTTCCCAGTTTATGCTCATAATAACTCTCTGGGCTAGGTCAGGTTGCAGAAAAGTTATTAGCTCAGGGTCTCCCAGTTTCATAGGTCATTGAGGATCTGAATCCACATCTTCCAGATCCCAGTTTAATACTCTGACTTCTACACCATGCTGACTCTTGAGCTTGACCTACTACAAATCAACTTTATTAAGTGACACACACAGACACACACACACACACACATAGTATGAAAAGAAGATGAATTTCTTTTCATCACTTAGGAAACACAGGTGAAACACTAAGTGAAATCCTCTCAAATACTTTAATCCATAGGTTCTTAACCTGTGGTCTGCAGATTCCCAGGGAGCTGCAATGTCCTCATAGGGGGTCTGTGAAGGCTTGAAGAAATACTATGATCTTTTGTAGTTAAAATAAAATGAAAGAATAACTGAATGAAAGAAAAGGAAGCGTAGAACAAAATCTTAATTTCTCTTCCTTGCTTGTGTAAAACTTGGCTTTCCTAACCTACGGTTTCCATTAAAAACAAACAGAAGTAAAAATATCTGTGAGGAGAATAGCTGGTTGAATAGCATCCCAGCTCGTGTGCTGTCTTTCCCTATTGAAAAATGGGAAAGACCCATAGATGCTCAGAAGTGCAAGCCCCAGATCATATGGGAAGTGACCAGTCCTATGGGGGAGAGAGACCAGGTGGAATCTGAAGGGCAAAGAGGAGAAATAGAGAGATACGGGGGGGAAGAGGCAAGAAAGCCATCCAAGGAATGAGTTGGGTATACTGGCTTATCAGAATAGAGCTGATGGTGAAGGAGGTGAAGCAACAGTTAGAAATGGTGGGAATAGGAGAGGAGGAATGCATGAACAGGAGAGGACAAACTCAAGGAAAGAGAAAAGAATACTCCCACTGGGATGGGAGTACAACTAGATGGAAAATCCTTGGACTCACTAGTTGGAAAAACCTTTGCTTCCTCATGAGGAGGCTGAGAAAAGGAGAAGGGAGGTGAGACCTCAAAAGCCCTCCTATTGGGTTGAGAAAGAAGCCAGGGACTGGGGAAGGAGAATAAGAAAGGAAAGAGCCAGAATAGTGCGAGAGATGAGAGGAAGAAAAGGGTACCATACTCCACATGGGATGAGACATTTTGAAACTTTGGGTTCTGGGAGTTCCTGGAACAGGGATACCTGGATTTGAACCCTGCAGCAGAGACAAGATGCCCGTGCTGTCAGTACCATCAGGACCAGAGTTGAAAGAGACATTATCTGCTGTAGACGCTGGACTGTTAGAAACTGCCACAATTAATCTGTTCAATGTTCAAACCCCTTCATCACAGAGTTGTGTGAAGAGGAGAAGTTAAAACTCCTTGTTGATGTTAACAGTTGACTTACCTAAAATAAATGTTGATATTTTGGATACAAGACAGTTTTCTTTAGTCAGTTCTAACAAAGAGCCCTGAAATGCCCAAAGAATCTGGTGAACCCTCGCAATTGGTTATGGAAATAACTATTTGACAGCAAATAACTGTTTGGTATTTCTGTACATCAAACCTGGGCAAAGTGCGGCCCGAGGGCCACATACGGCCCGCGAGCCGCTCCTGTCCAGCCCGCGGACAGTTTGGAACATCAAAACCATTTATAGCTTTTTGTCTAAAGTTGATCAGTTGCTTATCTTTAACGTACTGCAAAAGAAACATTCTTTAGTATTTGTGAAGATTAACAAGTTTAAAATAAAAACAATCATAACATCACTGTTTCATTTTATTAAGTAAAGTTGGTTCGGCCCCTGAACACAGTTCAGATTTTTCATGTGCCCCCCCATAGAAATTAATTGCCCACCCCTGCTGTACAAGGTAAGAACATGCAAGATAATGATGCTGAGTGACTGAGAGACAGCACATGACAATCAGAAGCTACCGGAAGAGAGAGTCACAGTCTGTCAGTGGACTTCGTAATCTTGTTTCTTGAAGAGAGAGTCACAGTCTGTCAGTGGACTTTGTAATCTTGTTTCTTGTTCTGCTACTACTAAAACCATTTGGCACAGCACATGACAATCAGAAGCTACCGGAAGAGAGAGTCACAGTCTGTCAGTGGACTTCGTAATCTTGTTTCTTGTTCTGCTACTAAAACCATTTGGTTATTGTCGAGCAAAGTGACTTTTTGATATTATACATTTTGGCTAAGCCTCAGAATGGATCGCTAGCTGAATTTGAAATGTCAAAGAACTGGTGCTATTGATGAGAGGGTGCATCCTGTTCAAAGCAAAATAAAGCTTCTTCCAGTCATTTTAAAAGGTGTCGCTGTTGTAGCAAGGAATAGCTGTTAATTTGCTTCATGTGTACTAGTCCAGAAGACAATCAACTACCACAGTTTGTTTTGAGTTACAAGATATTGTCCAACAAGACCATGAGACAGTCAAAATTGTGAAGATATCTCAATACTAAATATAAGGAATATGCCACAAAGAGCATTGATATTTTTTTCAAAAGGAAGAAACATGAGATTCAGGAAAGTATGAAGATGGTATAAATGCAACTGGTTGTAACAATGAAAATGCACTTTGATGATATTTGATACACTTCAGGGTTTTAAATCTTGAGTTAAGTCTTGGTGGTCTGCAACAACAAAAGATATTTAAAGGGTATCTGTGGTAGAGAAAGGTTAAGAACTGCTGCTTTAACCTTTCCTCAGAGATAACATGATAACACATTCAGGTGATCTGAATAATTTTTCCGATATATTTCCCAGCTCTGTGATACCCTTTATTAGACAGCTCCAGTAGTAGTAGGATTACATTACTGATTGGAACCAAGAAGCAATTGGCCGTCTCCATTTGTAGTTCAGGAATAGCTGAAACGCTGGTCCTCCTGCCATCATTGTAACTTATGGCTGTACAGTATATTATTTAAATAAATTAGTCAGGGTCTGAAATGTGTAAGCTGTATGGAACTGGGCCTGATGTCATTGGCAACCAGTCATCTGCTTGAATTGTATCTCAACAGTCTGATCATTTTATGGAATAGTAGCACCTATTCAGATATGCCTTTACTGTTATACTGTGTACAGTGGAAACACTGTGGTGGTCCTGCGAAATATTCTGTATATTCCTACTCTTTTCTTAGGGTTTTTGGGCTGAAGCTGGAGCATAGAAGCAGCCCATTCTGCAGCAGAGACTGTGATGTTTGCTGCTCTTGATGACCTTATCATGCCCCCCCCTGCATATGCACATCAGGTGGCAGTGGTCCACTGTTGAAATTATCTTGCAGGGCTGTGCCTTCATAGTTTTGGCTTAGTGCAAAGCAATAAATTCAGAACTTGTAAGAGTTACTTTTTTGGACTACAGTTACCAGAACTCTTAGCCAGCAGAGCTAAGAAATTTGAGAGTTGTAAAAGAGATAGCTGTGACTCCCAGGATACTCTTTTAGCACCTAAGGGGGACAAACAAGCTAATGTGAGGGATTAAGCTCTTTTGGTTGTGTCCTTTCTCTCTGGAACAAGCTTCCCTTTCTGGTTTTAGAAAGCTAATGAAGATTGAAATATATAAAGCTGCCTTCTGCTAGTATGAATTGTCCTGAGAAATTTAAATGGGTTTTAATTTGTGTATTTTATTTAAAGGTAGTTTTTAGCTAGTGCCAGAGTTTATTGTATTTTATTGTACTTTTGTATTTATTATATAGAATTTTAGTCTCGTATAATTATATTGTATACTATCAATTGCCCGTAGAGTAGCAACACTATTGGGGCAGTATAGAAATAGAAATTGATTGATTAATTAATTCTTTTCAGGGCTACATCAGGATACTGCTGTTGTCTAGCCTTGTGCTAAATGTTGCTTCTGTCTTTTTCCCAGATTAACCTGAACAAAGTTGGTGAATACTGGTGGAGTGCAATCTTGGAAGGAGAAGAGCAGATTGACATTGGCAAGATCAATAAAGAGCGTTCGATGGCTACAGTGGATGAAGAAGAGCATGCTGTGCTGGATAGACTTTCCTTTGATTACCATCAGAAACTGCAAGGCAAGCCACAGAGTCATGAGATGGTACGTTGGTTTTGATTTGTTGACTATACAGTTCCATATTGCCCATTCTTCTCCTTCTTTTTGTCCTCCTCCTCCTCCTCCTCCTCCTCCTCCTCCTTGTTTTCAAATAAAATTTTTTATGTTTTTAACATTATAGCTGAAATCATGTTTTGTGTTACACAAACAATCTCAAATATATCAATTAGTTATACATTTTCACAGTATAATTAACACCACTGTTTTACTCTATACAGTAATTATCTGAAATTATAATATATTTTCATCATTAATGCATTGATTAAATGGATATCAGCTTAGATAAAACATATTTGGCTTGACTGTTCTGTCTGGCATTCCTTTAGGTGAGCTGTTGGATAAGGAGGGCGTTTTCCGTCTCCTCTAGTAGGCTTAAAATAAAATAGGGTGCTATTGGTCTTTCAAGACATTTCCCATTTCTGTTCTGCCTGTGAAAATGTAAAGCAGTGTTATGCAGCTGCTTTGAATAACAATAACAAATAAAATTGTGGGTTACAAAATCAATTTTCTGGCTAGTGTAATGCTTACTGCTTATTTGTCAGCCTCTGTATTCTTCACTTGTAAATTAAGAATATTAATTGATTACCTTTGATCAGTTCTCCATGCCACCATGGTGACCAGTTTTAGAATGTCATGTTAGAAGTCCTGATCTATATTAATGAAGATGCAGACATGTATGTACTGTATGAATTAGTTCTTCCTGTGAACGCTTATAAGATACATTCTGCTAGTGATACCAGCTCTTTGGTCCTCAGATATTATTGAATGTCACCTCCCAGTAGGTCCAGCCAGCATGACCAGTGAGAGATTTGGGGAGCTGTATTCAGCGTTTAGGGACCCAAAGATTACAGACCACCATAGTAGGCAACAAGTTCTGTCACTGGCTACCACTCTGTATACTCACTTTGTGCCTGATGGTTGGTGGATTCCAGGATTTTAGTAAAAACAAGGGAGGTCTCACATGCCTGAAGTCTTTGGGTAGCACAACTGTTATTCATTGTGTGTCCCCTTGCTGCGAACCTTTGCTTTGATGCTTTGATGTTCTGAAATTACTTTGATGTTCTGAAATTACTGTAATTTAGAGTACATAGCTCTCTCGGTGCAGAATTCATGGGGAACTTAGTCTGTATGTTTTTACATATAGTGTGTGCATGCACACACACCGACCAGAATTCAGTTGAATATTTGTTGGTCTAAGTGCAGTGGTGTAACTCAGAGTGGTGAATAGCCACTAATTAACAAGTAAGTCTGATTGATTTCTTAGTGGTGTGCTGTGTCATGCAACTGGAGCATGACTAGAAATTAAATCAGAAACTTGTTAATTAGCAACTATTTGTTGCTCTAAGTCAGTACCATTGCACTTATGCTGGCATGAATATTCAGTTAGATTCTGGCCACTGGAACTGGCTTCACATTTGATATGCTTAGAGCATCATCCCACCTGAAGTACCTGTTTTGGAATCTCTCTCCACCTTCAGTAATTTCATCCTTGCCAAGGTGCCAAAAGAAAGACCAATAAAGTATCAGGATTAAGACTAGCCATTTGACTTGTCAAGAAAGATTTAATCGATTAGCTAGTCAATTAAAGCATTAATTTTCTTAGAATTATATTTTATTTTGAACACTTTTGTGCAAACAGTTTTGACATATACATTAATGAGAGGAAGAAATTAGTTTATTATTGTGAAAAAAAGTAACTGGATTAATGATCAAAATCCTGTTTGTAACGCTATATTTTGTGGAAAAAAATAAAATCAAATAAATTGAATGCATTTGATTCCCTCATTTAAAGTTCTGATGGCTTCCTTTTGCACTGCAAAAGCCTTTGGGAGCTTTGGGGTGGGAGGGGAAGACTTTAATCACCAACAATCACCTGCAGTGGTCCCAAAACATGTGGCGGTGATCTGGCAGAGATTTTTGGCAATTAAAGGTTCCTCTTTCCTCTCCCAAGGACCCAAAAGGCAGCCCTTTAGAACCTAAAATGGGGGGATAGAAAGCATTTAATTAATAGAAATTACATCCAACCAGGAGAAATTGATGACATCATCAGCTTCTGTTGCATCACATTACATGAACAAGATTTAGGCCACTGAGTTACAGTGTCTTAACAATGTTAAGGTTTTGTTGACATTGTCAAATAATTGATGTGAGCCTTTTCAGTGAAGATTTTGCTTTTTTTCCCATCCTGGAACACCAAAGTTGGCTTGTGCAGCCCATGCAGTATGCAGAGTTCATAGGCCATGTTTACTCAGATACAATGTTAAGGTTTTGTTGACATTGTCAATAGATGTGAGCTTTTTCAGTGAAGATTTTGCTTTTTTTCCATCCTGGAACACCAAAGTTCCAGCCCATGCAGTATGCAAAGTTCATAGGCCATGTTTACTCAGAACCCCAAGCAGACTTGAAAACAGTGCTACCATATTTCCCTATTAGTTGGGAAACACCCATTTTGGTTGCTTTAAATGGCTTATTGCAGTCTGCTGCTGAAATTTAGCTATAAGCCATTTTAGTGCATGTAAAGCAAGCAGAGTTTGCTTTAGAAGTAGACTCCCCACACCGAGTGCTGCTGTTGTTAAGGGTGTGGTGAGTCCTGGACAGAAGCCATTTTAGTGCATGTAAAGCAAGCAGTGTTTGCTTTAGAAGTAGATTCCCCACACAGAGTGCTACTGTTGTTGAGGGTGTGGTGAGTCCTGGACAGAATAGGACACAATATGAAGGTTTGACTTCCTTGGCTTTATTTTATAATGAAATAAAAGGTTATATGACTGTATTTTGACATTATGTTAAATTGCGTCCTGGTAACTTTATTGTCTCCTGCCAACCGAGCAGTTCGAAAGCACATTAAAAATGTGAGTAGATAAATAGGTACCACTATAAAGGGAAGGTAACAGCATTCCGTCTTTCAGTCGCACTGGCCACGTGACCACGGAAACTATCTACAGACAAACACTGGCTCTACAGCTTGGAAACGGGATGAGCACCGCCCCCTAGAGTCGGACACGACTGGACAGTTTGTCAAGGGGAATCTTTACCTTTAACTTAACTTTATTGTGGATCATGAGGATGCCAGATTTCAAAGGCATCCATTTTAAATTTGAATTTTTCAGATCTGAGCGAGGGGAGGTTTGCCCCCCCCAAATGGCAGTGAATGTGTCCTGTGGGCTGCATGCTGACCACCCCAGTATAGTTTACTGTAATTGGCTAGGTTCCCCTGGGTTCATGTGTTTTTTTTCCTTTTCTTTCTCCTGGCATAGCCAAAGGGAGAAGTTCAAAAAGCATTTGCCCCAATTTTTTTATCCATTGCATCTTGTTTTGTCCAATCCTTACAAGCTGTAGCTAACTGTAGCCCTGCTTTGTTTGAAAAAAGGCCAAATACGGTCAGTGCCATTCTGGCTTCATGGAATACTTTGACAGTATCTTACCACAGTCAGTTGGCTGTGTTTGGCCATTGTCAATTAACCAACATGCCAGTCTGAATTGGGAACAGTTTAATTGGTGGATTTCTGCATACCACATCACCTTATCCTGACTCTGCTATATTTCAGAAAGTCCATGAGATGCTCAAGAAGGGCTGGGATGCTGAAGGTTCCCCATTCCGAGGCCAGAAGTTTGATCCTTCCATGTTCAACATTTCTCCAGGGGCAGTGCACTTTTGATGATAATCGTGAGACTGGAAGAATCCCCTCCATGCCTGAGATGAAACTGATGCCACTGCTGGTTCCTTTCTCTCTCTCTCTTCTCCTACCAGTGACATTATGGAGCCACGCATTGTATATTTTGGCTTGTTTTGTAAAACGACAGGCTTTTTTAAAATGGCCAGTTGTGTAGATTTGATTTTGTGGAAGGGACGGAAAGAGTAAATTGAAATGTGAGCATGAGTGAGTCGGTCCGTCCTTCCAGCACCAGGTTGGTGCATTTGATATGTTTGTGGGGGAAGCCTGGCAAAAGGAGCATTACGTACTGTGTCACCACGGCAACCAGCAGCTGCTGGTAGCGTTTCTTCTTCTCTCTAGTTAATAGATTCATTTGCTGATGATGGTTATGAGGGAGGTTGTTTGAAGCCAGTTTTCTCCGTCTCCCCCATCTTCAAAATAGATGTAATTTGGTGAAATGCTAATGGCTTCTTTCATTTATTATTTGAAGCTCCCTTCCATTTCCACCACCACCACCAAATTTCACCTTTAAGAAAGCTGATTTCACAACATCATTGTTCTCCACCAGCTTTTGCTTGTTGTTGTTTTTTACTCAAATGTTCTTGCCAAAAGACATCTATGCCCTTCTCTTATTCCCCATGACATGCAAAATATATTTCATGTATATCTTATCTTTAAAAAAAAACAGATGGCAGTGGTTGAGGCGATTGGCTGGGAGGTGCAAATCTTGGTTCATATATGTTATGAGCCTGGGAAAAAAATCCATTCCCCAAGCAACTTTTTGCCTTTGAAGGGAAACTGCCGTTGGTGCCATTAGTTGCTTTCCTCCAGGGGGCAATGCCATTGTTTCTTTGCATGTTCAGTCCTGGTCACCACCTTCTTCTGGCTTAAAAAAAAGCTACGTAGGTCATGGTTCTTTAGCGTATATTCGGCTCCTAACATTGGTCCACCAATACTATGTATGTTGTAAAAATTGCTTACCTTCTCTGTACAATAGTGAGGAGGAATATTTGGCCCTTTTATTATCATACTAGGGTTATGAGAATCAAAATGTGTTTTGCAGTTTTTTAAAGTTCAATTTCTTGAATCCTTCCAGCTGTTACCAACTGGATATTTCTGTTCTATTACATCAGCTGTTAAATGGCAAAAATTGGGCAAAAATTGAAGCTCTTGATTTTGGATAAACAAATCTGGCATTCCTTGCACCTACAAAAAGGTTGAAAGCAAGCTGAAGAAATGATCTCTAGTACAAGTTTTCAGCTGCAAGTCTCTAACTACAAACAGCTTTGAAGAAATGTGATCATGATAGTCCAATAGGGAAGATGACATGTATTTGACTGTCACCTTAAAATCCTAGGGAATAGAGAATAGCTAGGAGTCTCCTCCCACCTCCTTCCCATCACTGTCATTCACTCCGTGTATGATGTAACATAGCAGATTGCACACAGGTTAAAAAACAGGATGAACTTGATGTTTAAGGACATGAAAACTGGTATCTGAAGAGAGTGAGGGTGAAATTGCACTAAACTTGTTATAGCTCAGATTATTTTTATTGACTTTAGTGGTATTGGAAAATAATGAGAATTTAGATTGCACAAAAGGAATTTTCTGTGCAACCAAGCTTACACCCTCCCTTCAGTACAAGTTAGTTTATCATTTCCATCCTTTTTTACCCTGCCTGAACAAAATGTTAACATGCACAGACTGAATTCGCCCAAATAGTGGGCATCTTATGCGTGTGGATGGCAGTTTATTGATTTGTTGGTTGGTTTGGTTTTGGTTTTGATTTTTATGTACTGACCAGCTTCATTGTTGGGAAGAAGTCCACTGATTCCTTTCCCACTTTTTAAGCAATATGGTTTGCTGTTTTTCTTCACTTACTGGAATATTGGAATAATAAACACTGGTATTGTCTGTGCTTCATCCAAGGTTCACTGTGGGAAGAAGCTGTCCAAAAGATGAATTGGGAGTGTCCGGACACAGGGGTTCAGCTGGTTATGCACTAGAGACAGCGTATTGTGGTATGCAGATTAGATGGCATGCAGTTATGTTGTCTTGGCAAGGAATGGCCATTCTGTGCTTTCTTAACACATTCTATGCCAGTGCTACCAAAGCAGTCACTGAAACAAATAAATGTTCAGCTATGATGTGAAGAGTGGGGCAAGTATTCTAGCCTTCTACACATGAGAGATGTGTTGTGCTTCTCTTTAGAAGGGGGTGGCTTCTGATGATGGTGGCCCCAGCTGCCATTGGAAACAGATTTCGCATTCTGCTTATCGGCAACTGTTCTTGAATAACCTGATCCATAAGTGAAAGGCAAGCAATTTGCCAGGCCCAAATTGGCTGTTAAGGAAGGGCAATACGGTCTTACTGTTTTTTTGTGGGGTGATTTTATAGGCTGGTTGTTTTCTTTTCTTTTCTCAATGGTGGGAATAAAAACTGGTAGAGAATCACCAAGGGTTATCATTGCTCGCTTCCAAGCTAATATTTATTTCTTACATGTACCATCCATTGCATTTCATGTTACTGTATCTTATATTTCTGAACGAGTTGTTGTGTGCTTGTGTTAGCACTCATTCCAAACATCCCATTGTAGACAGACCAGCATAATTCTATAGCTGACCTTGAACGGAGTACAGGCAGCCACTGGTGCTTTCCTTGTTCTGGTATTCTCAAGAGAAGAATGAAAAGCAGCTAACACGTTTCCTCAAAGGGAAGGAAAGTAGGTGGTAAGGGGGTTGAGCTACTGATCAGCATGTCTCCTTTCAAAATAATTTATTATTTCTAAAGCACCTACAAATCAAGTAGGCAAGAGTTTTGAAGTTTGCTGAAAGCACTGTGGGTGGTTCCCCAGCAGCTTCCTTGCTGTGAGGACCTTAGTGAGATTCGGTAAGAGTTTGGTCTTCCTTTGATTCTGAAAAGCATTTCTATCTCAGTCCCTCCCCCACTTCTAGTTTTACATTTTAAGAGCTTGTTAGTGGATGTCCAGTTTCTATAAAAATTAAACATTTGTTCTGGGTAATCTCTATAACACGTCACAAGGTGATCAGACAAGGGTTAGGAGAATCAAAATGTTTTTGACAAATCTCAAGTATGATGGCCCAAGTGGGTGACTTTTTTGGGGGCATATGCACCACCACTACCCTACCAACTCTAGAAATTAATCTCCTAATCCAACATTGCACTGCTAAAACTTCCTTCCCCTAATTCCCCCCTGCCCCAGCAGCTCTTTACACTACCAGAAAGCTTTGTCCTTGTCTTGGAGGAACATGGGGGTGCAATAGGTTGGAGATTACCACTTTCATTTCTGCTGTTCCACCAGCAAAAGACCAGTACTAGATATTGTCAAAAGAGCCCTGTTTATCTTATTTTGTCTGGTTCTACTATTTGCCTTCTAGTTGGGCTTCAGTGGAGAAAACTGTTGCATTAAAATATAATACAGTGGTGCCTCGCAAGACGAATGTAATTCGTTCCACGAGAAGCACTGTCTTGCGAAAAAATCATCTTGCGATGTTCCCTATGGGAACCTTGCAAGACAAATGAAATTTATTTGTCTTGCAGGGCATTGGTCTTGGGGGGGGGGACCGTCTTGCGAGCATGGGCATAGAAGAAACCGTCTTGCGAGGCACCATAGCGATTGCAAAAACCAATCGTCTTGCGGGTTTTTCGTCCCGCGAGGCATTCGTCTTGCGAGGCACCACTGTAGTCTTTAAGGTGCCACATGTTTCTGCCTTTGTTTTGATTTGTTTCTTTGGATTTTGCCTGATAATAGTTCAGAGCTGGATTTGCTATACCACTTTTACAGTCTCGTGCACTGGATGTTAAATTGGGTTGGATTCTGAAAGAAAATGAATAAATCTCTAGAATATGTACAGTTGTAGTCATGTTGCCCAAATAGAAGTGGAGACTGACAGTGATAGAGAATTTTTTATTTTTGTCCTGTAAGTGTTTAGGGCAAGTTTGTGTGTTGTCTTTTTGCAGACTTATGCAAAAAACTTTGAACATTCTGTCACATAATGTAACTTCTCTACAATAATAACATCCAAATGAGACCTGCTCACTTAGCACTGGCTTCTGAAGTCAACTCACAAAAGTGGGAATAAATGGAGAAATTGAGTTTGCTTTCTATGCCTTATCTCTTGCCCAAGTGTTGTGTCAAATCCTTTAATTTATTAAATGCTGCATTTATAAAGAGCAGGATGATTCCCAGAGGGTGATATTTTTTCCTAGCAGAAATGCTCCTGTTTAATATTACTTCAGTCTGTTTTTTTTCTGGTTTCCATGCTTGTTTTATATTCCTGTTCAGTTCAGAAAAATGGAAACATTTAAGCTTAGCAGAGGATATCTCGGACAAGGTATGTCACCTTTGAAGCCAAACAGCCATCAGGTTCTGTATGGTGGCTCATCAGGGCCTGATAATCCTAGAGCTCTACTAGCTAGTTGCAAAGGTGGTGGTGGTGGGAATGATTGGGGGAGGTGTCAGGCCTTTGATAGGCCTGCATTACATTGCTTGATGGCCTTGAAAGGTGTCATCTTGGGCTCGGTTCATTCTGCTAATTTGTTATTTCTCATCCTGTCTTCCCTTTTGGAAAAGGCATGAGCTCTGTGGTTGTCCTGATAGCAGTGTTGTTTCGCTTTGTTTGCATCTTCAAGCTATAGTTTCCATATGGAGTAGGACAGTGCTTTTGTTGTCAGAACTGAGCTCAGTACTGATGCCAGTACAGACCTGGCATCGGTACTGTGTGTGGCACATTTTATCTACCTGCTTCCAATCATAAAATAAAAATTGAAGTAAATTTATGTGTGTGTTTGCATGTCTTTAGCTGAATCTTAAAGTAGAGGATCCTCTTGGCACAACATACCTTCTAGCTCTGTCTTCTGGTTTGGTTTAGAGTGCAGTGGCACTCTAGAGGAAAAAAAATATCATCATCAGATATTTTATTACTAGCCAATCATGCAGGCTGTCATGTCCAAAGAGGTTTGTTGAACAGACTATCTCACAGTATTCAGAGATGAAGCAAGGCAGTTGTCAACCAGTCAGTCAGAGCCTTTATTGGCATATTCAGAAAAAATCACATACACACGATAACAAACAATTAATTAACTAGATCTAAACGTTTGTTGTCTCAGTCTGCGGCTCCTTACTGTTTTGTCCAAAATGTCCTCCATGTTCACCACTGTAACTGACTCCTGTTGACAAAATATACCTCAGTGTCATAATCCCAACAGCCCCTCTTCTTTAACAAAAACAGGTCTAAATATTTTCTGTGGAACAGACTGCCTCGTAATATTCAGAGATGAAACAAGGCAATTGAATTCATCTATTTACACTTGCACACATCACCTCCGTTCTCCTTCATGAGAGATCCCAACCCAGAGGCTTGAAAATAAGAAACTGCTTTTATGCTCCATCATCCTATTACTCCATCAAGTCCAATATTGCCTGTTCAGACCAGCATCAGCTATCTGTGATCTCATGTAGAAGTTTCCTTCATAACACACTACCCGATTGTTTTTAAACAGGAGAGCTATGTGCTGGGCTATGGGAGAAGTAACTATCACTGCAAATTATTGTCATACTGCAGCATTGTCATGTTCTCTCCAATCAGCCCTATCCAGTTTAAATGATGGAATAAGCAAAAAATTCTAAAGTGACTTTTGGGTGCCTGCTGCCTGGCCTTGTTCTTCTGAAAAGCATTGCATACTTTATGTTCCTCCTTTTCTAACCACAAACTTTCTGGACTTAGTGAAAGGGAATGTGGGTTGTGCATAAATCCTATGGACATGGGTTCTGGGTGATACTCACCCAGCTGACATGTAAAGCTTGATGGGGCAAATTTTCCATTTTTAAAGTTCAAATAATTATTAAGCTTCACTTGTGAGGTAGCAACACGTTGTTTAGCAGTGGACTTTACAGTACATTACCTGTTAAAGATTTCTGTGCCCCTGGTTTGTGCGTAGCTATGGTGACATTTCACAGAAGGTATTCACATGTTTCTCCTTACCCACCTTTCTCCTTCCCCACAGTAATAGTCATGAATGTTGTAATTACGGATGTGTATAGTTAATTTTGTTGTGTTTGTTTTGTTTCAAATTCTTTCGGGGGGGGGGTTCCTCTTTCTTTTCTTTTTTCTTTTCTTTTTGTGTGTGTGTGCACTCGTTCTTTCATTTTATATGAAAAGGAAAGCTTCTTTCAGATTTTTCATTTGTGTTTTCCAGCACTCCAAAACCAGTAAAGCAATCAAATAACAATTTTTTTAAAAAAAAAGTCAATCAACTACTAGAGAAAGCATGCACAGCCATCTCTCTCAAAAACTAAGAAAAGCAAGCAAACAAATAAAGGCAAAAATACTGTCAAAGTCTCCCTCCAAACCAAAGCTAAAATATGGGGAAATTTCACCCCATAGCCTGATGCCTTCTCTTGTCTTCTCTTCTTTGAAGCAGCAAAAATAATCCAAGTAAAGGATTAACACCTCCCCCCAATAAAATTCCCCAGACAATTTGGGTGGGAGAATAATCCCAAGGAGGTATGCAGGCGCTGGCACACAGTCTTGCAGCAGCAAAAATAATCCAAAAATCAAGAAAAAAGGGCAGGTAAGGAAAGGAAGGAGGCACAGGTAAGCAGGCAGCAAAGGCCTGTGAAGTAACAAACCAAATACCCCCTCCCCCAAGATGTACTGATTGGCCAGTGAGAGCCATCATTGTCCGTATTATGTCTTTACATTGAAATACTATTGGATGAAAAATTTATCAGCCAATTTGACATACAAAGGGTGAAAGGTCACAACACTTTATATTGCATGTAAAGATGAAAGATAGATCACAACAGTGTCTTTGCAATAGCTGTCATGACACAAATGGATGAGAAATTTATGAGGTAATTTGACATAAAAAGGGTGAAAGAAAGGTTAAAT